GTACAGACGGACAAACAGACAAACAGAATGAAACTTTTCCGGTCAGTGGAGTAATGGGCTTCGCTAATCGCTCAGCCAATAAACTCGAAAAATAGCAACGTTAAACGTCGCGTAGAGGGTCGTGTTTAGAGTTGGACCGGAGGCGTGGCAACACCAAGGTGTTAGTAGCTGGCGCAGAAAGGGCAGCGCAGCGCCGCCCGAGGGTGTTAGCAGCTGGACCGGAAGTGGCAGAGCGCAGCGCAGCGCCGCCGGAGCGTTAAATGAGCGACGCGCTTAATCTTATTTCTCTCTAAACTAAATTTGTTTATTTATTTTCCACGCTGGGCCGCCGCCGGTGCAAGAGGAAGAGAACGCTCGCCTCGGCACGCCCTCGTAGGCAGAGGCGGCCGTACTCACCAAGGGTCCTGTTGATGGCAGTCCTCGTCGAGGAGGTCGCGGCGGAGGTCGTGGGCGTGAAGGCCTCGCTGGCGCTGCTGCTCGCGGCCGGGGCGCCCGCCGTGGGGTGCGGCGCGTGCTGGCCGTGGTGCCGGCCGTGATGGCTCTTGGGGTGCCGCACGGGGTGCGCGTTCTCGCCGCGCAGGTCCCAGTTGGTGCCCAGCCCGCTGGGCAGCCAGTGCAGCGACCGCCTGCGCACAACAGCAACGGTGGTTGTTGGGTTGTGGCCCCCTCCTCCTCCTCCTCCTGTTGGGCGAGCGCGCAGTTTGACACTTTGCAGCTACCCGCCCGCGCTGCTGGGCGTTGCCGGGAAATTGAAAAGCAAAACGAGCAAATAATTTATTGTGGAGCAGGCGGTACAAGGGATGTCGAGCCGCCTCCCCTTCTTCCCCCTCCCATACCGACACCACGGCCGCGCGTGGCTCAATGCAATCACGGGAAAAATTGGAAGCCGTCAATACGTCAGCCGCAATGACGCTGGATAGGGTTGCCCGTGTGGCGGTCAGCGGGGAGGAGGAGGAGGAGGAAGAGGGGGAGGGGGAGGGGATTACGCCGAGGAGTGAATGGGGCCACACTGTGGCCGGTGCAGCCCACCCACCCCTCCCCCGCAGTGTGGCCACCACCGCTGGCTGGATGTACAGCACGACAGCTTTGGTCAAGTTTGACCGCCCCCGCCCCCCGCGGCGGGTGACAGTGGCTGGGGGCGGGGCGGAAGCGTCCGCATGAATGAGCTTGTTGCGTCATGGAGGCTGCGGAGTGCGCGGGTTATCTATACGATTGTATGTAACAAAATGAAAGCTGTAACGATTACTTAACATGGAGCAGAGGGGCAAATGTTTTTTTCCTTTTTTTTTTGTGGGCTCACACTTTTCTAAGCACGATTTTAAATGCGTTTCAGCATCCCGTTTTGCTTTTGGCGTTTCCGAAGCACACGTGGTCGAAGATGTTCGGGTAGACCCGACTCAATCCGTGTTCGATTTCCGCGCCCGGGTACACATCAGCATAGCCGCCTGATCACTGGCCTCTATCAACATTATCTCGAGAGGCCGGCTGGCCGTGTTGATCTGGGCCAGATAGCCAGGCCGGGTCGGGCCGGGTCGAGCCGTCGCCATGGCTACCCCTATCTGGTGCTGCAGTGCGCGGCTCGGCTCGCGCCCCCGCGCCCCCCACCTGGCTGGCGCGGGGAGTGAGTATTTGTTCGCCAATCCAACGCCTGCCAACGCGACTTCCCGCTCTCCCCGCCCCACAAGTGTTCGGCTTCGCCCGCCGCCCGCCGCTACCGCAACCTGTGACCCGATCTGGTGCAAAGGGAACCAAGCGGATCCCGCCCCTCCCAACCTGCCCGACCCGGCCCGGCCCGCCAGCTCCACAGGACGCGCCGCGCTCCCCGCTGGTTGCGGTAGAGGGTAGAGGGCGAGTGCAGCCGGATATTGCAACCCTGCCCCACACGTCACATATCGCGGACGATCTTTTCTATGCACAAAAAGCGTATCCGATTATTTTTAATCAATTTTGATTACTGTTCCACCCCCCCCCTTTTGTTCTGAAACAATAAGTCATTTTTTTCAAACAAAAACGATGTGTTTGGTATAGCACTAACGGCTTAGGAAACTTACCGGGCCGGGTAGTGCTGCCGCCCGCCCAGCTCTTCGTCCGACTCTCCTCTTGGTTCGGGCGGGCCCGCCCCCGCCCCCGCCCCCGACGGGCCCCAGAGAGTGGGCAGCGGACTGTCCAGCCGCCACCGTCGCTGCAGCAGCGACTCGCCTGCGAACAAAAAGTGAAACGGGGCGGATCAGACTTGGCGTCTCTCTCGCGTAGTGAGTGTCTCTCCGGCGTCTGATGTCCTCTTTCACGACTAACCCCTAAAGTAAAGCGTTACAACCACGAACTCACAGATCTGCATGAAAGTCGTGGAAAGCCAAGAGAGGGAAAACATAAATTCATGAAAATTGTTTGATATAGTAGTTATAAGATGGTTCTTCGAATCTTTCTAGCCTCATTTCTTTCTTTTTAAGGATAAGTCCAATCACTCTTTGTAGTCCTTTTCAACCCTTTTCCCTCCTCTTTGTCTGGGATCATTTTGCCGCGCAGACAACACACCGTGTGCTTCGGCGCGCGAGGTCGTTCACCTGCGCGCCGCGCGTCACGGCGTGGCGTCACGCGCGTCACGGCTGCCATCGTGATGGCGGCGCCGACCGCATCGGGGCGTTAACGAGGCGATGATAATGCTCGGGCGGGACGAGCGGGGAGGAGGGAGGGACAGAGGGGGGATGTCAGCAGGGCGGAGTGAGCTCCTCCCTGTCCAGCGGGCGCCGGGAGAGTAGGCAATACGGGTCTAGGCGTGCAGGGGAGAGCGCCGGGTGGCCTACCTCGCGCCCGGCCGGCCCGCCCCGCTCGGCTTGGCCCGCTCACCGCTGCTCTCGCCCACCAACGCACCGGGCGGCCTGCAGCAGATAAGGCCATGTTTACAGTGCGGTGGCCCCCGGGCGGCGAAAGAGTTGTGCAGAACGAGTTTGCCAAGTACACCATCGCCAAAATCGGCCAAAAAAGTGTCAAAAGAGTGGATAAACCGCGCGTCAGCAGTGTAAGCTGGCTGCGGTGAGTAACCCCGAGGCTTTCTTTCGAGGGTATCGTGACGTCGGGCTGGCCTGGCTATCAACGAGCGTCCTTTCCGTGAAAAGGCGAATGCACCGCACCTGCCGGGCCTGCTGCCGGGCCCACGGCACTGTACCGGCCAGCGAAGCCAGCGTGACGGCAGCCTGCCTCGTTATCGAGGCGAGACTCTGTGACCTGGCCGGACCTGGCGGGTGCGCGACTCGTGTCGAGCTGCAGCCGGCTCATGGCTCCCGGCCACGCCGGCCCGGCTCATGGCTATCTTGGCCCGAGCTGCTCGCGGCCCCGGCCCGGCCCACGCGGGCTTATTTAAGCCCGCGGAGAGCACCGAGCACGTGTCCGCGCCGCTAACGCGCACAACACGGCGACGCGCCCGGACCGAGTACCTCGAGTAGCACGTCTCGCTCAAGGTGGACCGCTCCGATGGGCCACATCGGCAGACCTTGGCGTTCAAGGAGGTGGCACCGGCCCCCCGAATCCTTGAATGAGGCATTAGGCAAGAGCGTGGGCCGGTCGCGGTGCAGCCTCAGGGGACTCCAGGGCCGATGACCGCGCTCGCGTTTTGGCCTCGCGCAGTTCGCCTCGCGCCGTGACCCCAGGATGGCGGGGATCGTGCGGAGGAGGGAATGTAACGGAATGGACCGCGCGGCCTCGAGGCGGGCGGGAGGGGAGGGGAGCTCGACAGGTAGGGCCTTACCGCATGCGCCTGGCCTACGACCCGCCTAGCCTCGTGCGAGGTGGCGGAGCGTGGCGGCGCTGTGGCAAACCGTGG